AGTAATGATGATTGAAAACCAGACCAAACAAATTTCCTTACGTCATAAGTCCAAGCTTGGCAAGACGGACGGCGTTCAAAAAGTTTTGGCATGATTACTTTATGTTTAGAATGTGGGGATGGTGAGTGGTACTGGAGAAAGAGGAATGTCTCGACATTTATGAGGTCTGCGAATTGCTGACTGAGAATTGAGATCATGGTTCACTATGCGCTCAAGGCAGTTCTTTTCACAAATGTATGTAAGCACCAGTCAATTGTGTTGTTGTGTTAAACTACTTGTAAACTGGACAAAACGACTGGGAATTTAAACATGCATAGAGTGGTGCAGTATCGGCACGAAAATGAACTCATTGGCCAAAATTGGGGCCTGGGTGAGAGATGAAGACGACGTAACAGTTTAGGCATCATTAAAAAAAAGGTATGGGGGGGTGCAAGTTATATTGATGAACTGAAGTCTTGAGTCCTTCCATAGTAAATTCTACTTAAAAAATGCATAATTGTTGGTCAGTGGTTCTAGAATGGGAGTGGTACTACTTAGAATATGTTAGAATAACATAGAGGTTAATTCCAGCACACCGTAGATCGGATGTGAACTCTAAATTATCAAACTTTCTCTCTTATTTGCAAACAAATGAGGAGCTCATGCTTTAAAAATTTAGTTGATTTTATACAACGCATAAAGCCCTTACAGAAGCAATATCCACAATAATTTAATTGAGACAATTGTAATTTTGAGGAAAATTGAATAGGAATCTGAAGGACTTCAAAAGTGAGGGAACACTGCATAGAAAGCATTAACTCACTCTCGCTCTCGCTCACTGTGTAAATAAAGCAAAGGTTGTGTAGGATGCACGATGGCTAAATGCAATAGATGGTTATTGTCTCCAGAAAAATGATAATTAAAAATTTTATTATACATATCTCTGCCATCTCATTTTATGTTTCCAGTTACTCTCACATCTTTTGAAAATTCTTTTATGGTGTCTAGTTTGAGAATTAAAAAAATTTAACATTACTTCCTTATTTCAAACTATATTATAATACAGAATTTAATTAACCAATTGGCATTCTTGAGCAATTTAATCAGTCAAAATTTAAAGGGATTTTTTTTTAAGCAAAGTCAACTAGGACACTAAAATGGGACGGAGAGAGTATAAACAAATCATCATGTACTAGATATCAACAACATCCACTTCACGATTCACACTTAAATTGTATATTTCCCTTATTTTCAAAAATCGGGGCACAAAACTCAATTTCTCATTCTGCCTTCGTCTGACACACAGAGGAAGAAAGAACTCTTCTGAAGATTAGTCTCGTTAACTAAACGACAAACCATCGTCCAACCTCATCTGGAACCTAAAATGCCTTCACCCTATTTCAATTTCTCCATCATCCTCAACTAACGCCTTCTACAAATGAGTGATACAGAGCATTTCCAGCTGTCAATCTATACATACGACTTCCTCGCAAAACAACCCTTCAAAAACTCCCTCCCCCTTTTGAACCACTCGGAACTTTAGGCATTCATGACCTCGCCCAATCTGACGAAGAGAGAACCTCAGCATCAAGATCTTCCTTCCAACCCATGGAGGCTTTCCCGTTAGCATCTCAAGCACAATACACACAAAAGCCCAAAAAATCACCAATTTCGCATTCTCACCTTTTCGTAACCTCTTCTCTAATGGTGGCTCCAAAATGCTCAACTGGACCTTTCGATTCAAATAGTACACTGGTTTGAAGCAACAATCCTTATTTTTAATACAACATCTCTATTAAAATTTTAAGGACACATCCAGATTTTTAAGATTTTGATATACAACCCCCCCCCCCCCCCCCCCCCCCCCCAACAAAAAAAAAAAAAAAAATTAATAATAATAATTTTATATAGAATGATACGTACATTTCCCTTTAAAACAAATATCATGAAAGATTACTTTTATTTATAAAAAGGATAAATTAAATCCATAGTCCTTCTAGTTTGTTTATTGTGTTAATTTGGTCCTTAAAGCTCTATTGCATCAACTCCTATAATTTTTTATAATTTGTCAATTTAATTCAATTGATAATATCTGTTAAAAAATTGAACAAAAATTAAAGACAAAATGATTCATTTAAAAAGAAATGAACCATTTTTAATTACTTTGAGATTAGGAAATTGACTATTTGACTTTAATTTTAATAAGTTTATTATTCGATAGATTTTTTCTGCAAAGTTAATAGGTTGAATTAATGCAATTAAAATTGTAATAAAAGGCAAATGGAGTAGACTATTAACATAAATAGTACTCCCTCCGTCCCAAAATAATGGTCCTTTTTGGAGAATTCAACTTTTTTTGGTAATACAATTATTACATTTGAAAAAAAGTTAATTTTCCAAAATTATCCTTTTGATAATATATTTTTTGGGAATATCAATGTCATAATTGTACTTTTTATATTGTTTATTAATTTAAAAGAAGGGCAAAATAGGAAATTTATATTATTTTTGTACTTGATTTTTGAAGAGGGACTAATATTTTGGGACAATGAAAAATGAAATAAGAGACTAATATTTTGAAACGGAAGGAGTATTGATTTGACACATTGTGACAAATTAAAAATAAAATTAATGCAACTAGAACAACAGGATAAAATTGACACAAAAGACAAATTAGATGATATAATTTATCCATATAAAAATGATAATGAAATATTATTCTCTATTTTATTTTTGCATAAAATTTTTGTGAGAATAGAATTTTCTAAATTAAATCCGGGCTGATTGGAACCAGTATCCAAACTCAAAAACCCAAACCCAAACCCACCGACCCAACAAATACCTTCTCAAACAGCAAGCCATATGACAGTTGGCTTGACTGTCATGTCACTCACTCTCCCCTGTTTACAGACTTAAAACCTATTCCAATTTGGAAACAAAATTCCACATTATCTACCAAATCCCAAAACCCTAAGACCAAATCTTATAAATAACTACATAGTAATAAGAAAAATTCACATCAATTCAATATTCTCTAAACAACACAAACAAGAAGTAGTCTTTGTGAAGATGGTATTGATCAAGAGGAAGCATGAGGAACTTGAGATCAAGAAAAGTGTCTATGGCGATGGAAAACTGTGGTTCAGAGGACCCATCATCAGAAAATCAAGCAACAGACCGGTTTATTTGGCGACTCTGAAGAAACCCAAGTGGAGACTCACCCACTTACCTATACTAATGGTTGTGAAGTCTGCAGAGGTTTTTGATTCTGCTATGCTTCAGAGAGAAGCAATGGTTCTTAGCAACTTCCATGCTTGTCCCTACATCTATCGTTGCTTCGGGGAAAAATTATGACTGGTGATTGCAATCGCATCATTTATAACATTCTCTTGGAATATGGCTCTGGCAGAACCCTAGCTGATTTGATCAAGAAAAGTGGTGGCAGAGGATTGTCTGAATCTGATGTTAGGTGTTATACAAGGCATATTCTTGAAGGTCTTGATTGTGTTCATAGCTCTGGTTATGTTCACCGTGCTCTAAAGCCTGAGAATATCATAATTGTTTCAATTAGTACTGGTACCGGGACTAAGTATGTGGCTAAGGTTGGTGATTTTGGGTTGGCAAAGACAGAAAAGCAGATGAGGAAAATGATGACAATGTCAAAATCTTATAAATTGAGAGGAAATATTCGGTGTTCGTCGCCAGAGATGGTGGTTGATAGAGGGCTACAACAATAGACTCCTTCTGATGTCTAGGATGTTGGCTGCATTGTATTTGAGATGTTAACTGGGAAGTCTGTATGGGATGGGAAACAAGATTCAAAAGTTGAGGACATTCTCTCTGACATTAGCAAAGGGCATAGACTGCTCAAACTACCCAATGAAAGTGAGGTATCAGAGGAAGCAATGGAATTTTTGAAGTGTTGTTATGGAATTTTTAAAGTGTTGTTTTGCTGCAAAAGCTATGGATAGATTGACTGCTTAGATGCTCTTGAATCACCATTTTGTGGTCGGATTGGGTGAGGACAGCGAAAACAATGAAGAAGAATTATCAGTGGAGAATTCTGAGGAGAAGGGTTGGTCAACATCTACATTATCATTCTCAGATTAAAAGGCTGATGATGAACTCAGTTCATCCTACTTTCCAGATGAAAGGGAATTGAAGGTCAAAAAACTAAAGCTTGATGCAGAGACAATTATGGTTTGCTCATCATTGTCATACGAAGACAGTGCAGTGGAAGATGAAATCAGTTCTTCTTGCCGTTCAGATGATTGGAGCAACATGCCATTGGAGGCAGAGGAATTGCAGGACATTGTAGAACCTAGGAGGGTTGATTGGTCATTGTCACTGTCAGTTCAGTATTAGGAAGATGAACTGGTTCTTCTTCATCTGTTTGTGTAGATAAAATGTTTCTCATAATTGTTGGCTTGGCCTTGTTAGAGTAAAGAGAAATGTAGAGTGAGAAAAAAAAATTAAATTTGTTAATTGAATTTATCTAGTTACATAAATATAACCCATTGACATTGACTAGCTTGTAAATTACCTATTATGAGGTTTTATAATTCAAATTAAAATTAGAGAGAAAATGACAGTATAATTTTCTTCCAAATTCTCACCACCTGGCTGTATGAACACACACACATAGCATCATTGCAATTCACTTCTAAATTTGGGATTCTAGTATTCATAGGTTCTGCACAAAAGTGAAATTTGGCTGATCGATATTCGACTCATTGATGTTAAGCATAATATGAAGTGAGTGTCAAATCAGCGAGTGTTCGAATTGTTGTGGCAACCCCTCCCTTCTTTGTCAACAATCTAGTATGCATGGATATTGTGGATTTAAAATATATATATATATATATATCATCAGCAAAATAAAACTTTGTTGATGTAGCCAATAGTGTAATACAAAACACTAATATAAACATCAATAAAAAGAAAAAGGATAGTGCAAAAGTGCATCATAGCAAGGCCATTCCATCCCAAATAGGTTGGCATGAAAATGTAAGCAAATCATATTCAAATGCCACCCAACAGACAAACAATGTTGGAAAGATTCCGACCAAAACCAGAGAAAAACATAACAGAATAGGGAAACTCCTATCGAGCCC